CTCACAGGGCAGATACTCCTTAAGGACAGTGCGGCTGCCATTGGCAGGGAGCCCGGCACCATTCCCAGCGGCTGCGCGGCTCCCGAGGACCCGGGATCYGAGATCACGAAGGCTCATAGGGCAAAGGAACAACTATGTGGAAATCTGTGGCAGTTACTAAACTGAGAAATTACATGGGGTCAGGGAGTCCCGAGAGCTGAAAACAGTTTGGAAAATATATGCACAGGGAAAAGAGGCCAGTATATATATTTTTTTCTTTTTTTTCTGTTTTTACTGTTCTCAAACCATCTGCTTAGAGCCAATGTTGGCGACTCAGCAGTGGTCTCGATTTGTGTGTGCTGTGCTGTGATGTGAGCAGCCACAGAGGTAGATGGGGCCCAGTTTGAGGGCAGCACGAACAATGCTGTTCCTGAGGCAGTACGGTGTGGTCTCAATAGCTTAACTGTGCGACCTGGTGAGTTCATCTGCCCCTGCTTTTACACCGTGCAAAGAGGTGATGTTCCTGCCCTAACAGCAAGGCTCCCTGTGAGGTGACTAGACCAGCAGACTGTTTTTGCCAAACCCTTTAGGGAAAATTGGAAAGCACATTCTGCAAATGTGTTACAAATCACTTTAGTTACACTGTACCTGTAAAATTACTGGAGGCTTAATTCTGAAGAGTTTGCTCTGTTTGTTCACAGCAGTCTTTTGGATGTAAGAGCAAACCAGTGCTGTACTGACCACTTCACCTCTCATCTACGGAAGCACTGAATCCTTCTGAACTCGAGAGAAACACTTCCACTGACTTAGGAGGGCCATTTAAATCTGTAATAGCAACAAACTGGAGGTAATGACCTGTTTACTTCTACCTGCAAAGCTGGGGGGAAAAAAGTACCATCGCTAATTGCATATTTTCCAACTGACACCTATTACATGTGTTCTTAGAGAATTGGTCAGAATGTCAAACTCTTTTTTTATTTGCTTGAAGTACCCAAATAGCACAAGTACTACATTTAAAAACACAAAGCCAAGCTGCTGTTCAGSATCTGCTGTTACTGAACCGGTAGCAAGGCTTCTAGCTTGACTGCGGGCTGAATAAAGTGATTTGTTGAACCGTCTCGACRCCTACGTTTGCCCCGTGTGTTTGTGCCCTGGGCCTGGGCCGAGCCTGGAGAGGCGGCTCGAAGCCGGCCGAGGTCGCTGGCCCTGGAGAGGCGGCTCGAAGCCGGCCGAGGTCGCTGGCCCTGGAGAGGCGGCTCGAAGCCGGCCGAGGTCGCTGGCCCTGGAGAGGCGGCTCGAAGCCGGCCGAGGTCGCTGGCCCTGGAGAGGCGGCTCGAAGCCGGCCGAGGTTGCTGCTGCGCCCGGGATCCAGGCACAAGGTGCTTCATGGAAGCCCCCGGATCTTGTCCTGGCAGCCAGACCCACAGCTCTGCAGAGCGGGTCTGAGCTGGGGGCAGCTGGGCTCTCGTAGGGGAGACGGGACCCTCCTGGGCTCTGCTGGGGCTTCAGGACACTCCTGAGGCTGCAGGGCCGCGCTCAGCGTGCCCGGCGTGTTTCCCTTCCTGCCTCGGGTTTCTCCCAGCTCCCGGCCTTCCCACCTCGGCTTTGGGGGAGCTCCGCGAGTCCCTGTAATCCCCAGGYGGCTCTGCTGGAGCCCCCGCGACCGGCTGGGCTGTGCTGCATGGGATGGGGACGGGGTGACCATTTCCCGTGGGAGGAACCAAAGGGGCAGAGGCTGCTGCAGGTCGTGTCGGCTGTGACTGCCCCCGGGAAGGGGCGCTGCGAGCGGGCTGTATCCACACGCTTGTGTGTATGTGGCTGTTGGGAACAGGCTCGGCCGTGCTGCTGGCTCAGTCGGAGGATGTGGAGCTGCAGCAACTTCGCCTCTACCGGCTACCAGATGCTGCATCTCTTAATACTTCCTTCCTAGAGCAGACAGCAGGTGGTTTTGCAGAAGAACCAGGTTAAAATGCAGTGTTTGTTGATTTTTTTTTTCCATTAACTCTACTGCACCTTATTCCTTATCCACAGGAATACATGCTTAGCCTATTTTCCAGAGCAGCTGGATCTCTGCTACTTTGCAGCTTTGGTTTCCGCCCTCCCTTCTCCGCAGGCTGCTCCYCCTCCTCTCCCTGGAGCAGTTGTCCCCTCCCGTGCTCTCACGCTTTGCCTCATCACTTGCTCAGGAGCAGAAGGAGGKAGAGTTAGGCTTGACATCAGCACCAACAGTAATGCGTGAGCAAGCAGAAAAGCTCCTTCTTTACCACTACTGCACTTACCCAGCCCTGCAAACAGGCTCAGGGAGCGTCTGCACTGGAATACACTTTGTTTCCTTTGCATTAAGGAGCTGGTACCTGCTGGTGTTTAAGACAGAAACAGACACGGAGCATGTTGGAAGTTGGACACTTTGACCTGCGGTAAATTCCGTAAATTTGGGGGGCAGGAGGAGGGAAAGATTGCTTTGTTTTTACTGAATAATATACTGCCATGTCTCACTAAGGAAGAAAACACCATCAGTCTCTCATAGATAGGAACCCATCCCTAGATGGGTTCTTATTAATTCTTATTAATTCTCTTATATCTGCTACCAGTCAGGCAAATGCCTTCAGTGCTATGGTAATGAGCTTACCAGTCGGTCTCTGCAATTACTAATTAAGGGAGGAGAGTGGGAAATTCAAACTCTATGACCTAACAGGAGGCGGAGAGCTGAGGGGTCAGTTCTCAAGACTGCACAGATGGGTGAGAGGGCTGAACAGGCACTGCTGCCTTGGAAAGCAGCAAGCATCGTGGCGGGAGCTGGTGCAGGAAAATGATCGTTTTTAAGTACTTTTTCACCAAGCAGCAGCACCAAAATAATCTGCATTTTCTCATCACACACATATGCAGAATGAACCTGCCTATACATGTTGAAGTAAACTCTTACACACTTATATAGAATAATCAATATCTGTGATAAAATTACACAAAAGAGCGGCCTRTTTGCTCTTTATTCTTTCATATACTTGCTAGCTGATGTCAGGACATTTTACTTGCTGAAAAAAGGGGCCTCTTCCTTAGGTGAAATAAATGTGAACACGGTTAACGAAGGGCCTCTGTGAACATGAGAGAAAAATAATAATAATAATAATTAAGAGGTACCTGGGTTGCAAGATAGGTAAAAGATTCCAGGCAAACTATAGAGACAGGAGTTTTACATATATATATATATATATATATATATTTTCCATATGACAAACAGCTTCCACAAGGTACATAAACTTTATCACCCAGCCTTGCCTGGTACCACAACAACAGCCTATGAATCAAGAAACTTCAGAATCCAGGCCCTCTTTTGATATTATTAATATCTTAAAGCTGTCTGCATTTTTTAAATCTTTAYATAAAGATTTTTAAACAAACAGCACTCAAGGTCCAGCATTATTTCATATTGACTGTTTAATGTGTGTTTTAAAATAATACCACTTAATCAAGAGAAGGGAAGCATCCACATATACAGAGTTGTCTTAGAGGCTTGTGAAAGAACTTGTTTTACAGACAAAGCAATAAAAATATGTTTAACCATGAACAATACAAAAAAAAAAAAGCCTCAGTGATTAACTATTTTAATAATAATTTTAAATCCTTGAGATATTAGAATATGTCTACCTACCAAAGAGGTCCCGTTCCGGGCATGCACATCTACACCCACCTTTTCCGAGCAGGCTCCCAGCAGTTCCAGGTAACGTTTCCATAGCTCCTGTGGAGATTAACCAAAAACCAGCAAAGCGAATGGGCTTCTTAATCAAACTCAGTAGTCACCTGAACATCCTGCTTGCTAGCACCTGAGGGGATTGGCCATCCTATTCCCAAATGTTAAATTCCCTTTAATTAAATTAAGCTTTTAATGCAGTAAAGCCTGGGAAGTTTCATGCAGAAGGAAACAGCTCAACATGCAATGCATGCCTTTAGTTCAGTAGCAGAAGTGACTTATAAGACCTGGGATTAATAAAAGGTCTGGATTTGGTGCTCTCCTCTAGGATGCTAAGCTTACAAGGCAGAGACTTGCATCTTAAACCTGAAGGAGACCTTCAATCTATAAAATTTCTTTGGCAACTGAAACATAAATTTGTCACAGGAAGAGTAGAAATCATTTAGTATCTTGGATGATCTCTCTCTTGTAGACATGTAGCCAGCTTGAAGCAGGCTGCCTGTCCACTCCTGTATCTTGCATCAAGTGACAGAYGCGTCAAACGTGAATTATGAAACACTGTAGTGTAAAAAGTAAAAGCTCCTGGGAAAAAAATGGGTTTAATTGCATTAAGCCTCCAGTTCTTGGGAGCAAAAGGAGTGCTTGATGCTCTTTTACTGATTAACTTTTTTGTCTTCCTCTTTTGTTTCTTCTAACTAAGCATTTCTAAATACTTATCTTTCAGGTATGCAGCTAAAGGATGCCCTCTCTCTTTTAATTATTTGACAATTTTCACTACATCTCCTGCCTYTCATATTTGACAGGAGAAGAACACAAGCTAACACACATGTTGATATGATGATCGCCTGTAACATTTCTTTATCACGTAGCTGTTACAGGGCTTTTCCCGCTGTCCATAGCTACCATCAGTCCTAAAGCATTTATACATTCAGTTGAAATGTGTAACTAAGCAAACCAGGGCAGTATCCCCAATAACTTGTAACATTCAAGTGTCCTTTACATTCTGGCTAGAGTTTCGCAAAAAGCAACTTATTGAACAAAAATATATTTATTAAACATTACCTTGAAACTGTGCTTTGCAGTCCACAAACTGGAGATGTGTCAGCCAGCCTACYGGTAAAAGGGAATGCTGTTTCCCACACAGCAGCTCTTGATACGTGTTTTATTCACTATAGCCATTCCACTGTTTCCAACCACCTGCCTTATCAAGTAGAGTAAGTGGTTCTGACGGCTCTGCTCTCTGCTTCCCTCATTGCTGTAGGAGCTTCATGAAAATATTATAGCTACTTAACTAGTTTGACTGGGGCTTAGGAGAACTGTTAGCACGTGGCAATGTGTCTGCTCACTACAAGCAACGAGAAGCCCATGAAGGGCTGGACGTGCGATCACAAAACAAAACTGAGAAACTAACCCTAAATACAGGTCCAGTTTCCTGCTCCAACTCTAAGGCAGAATATAAGCATAGAGCTGCATTATTTGTTCAAGTTGCTTACAGCCAAGAATATGTCCATACTGTCTGAAAAGAGCTGACACAAAGGATGTCTATGGCCAGCATCTGTGTGTCTTCTTCGTGTTGGGTAGAGGCAGCAGGGACAAGTAAATCAGCTCTATGGCTGCTCTGTACTCCCACAGCAGCCACACGTAGGTGGTTTGAACTCTTCTGTGCAGAGGGCAGAAGAGGACTGGTTTCTGTCCAAGGGATAGATTTTGCTCCCTTCATCTCTCTGTAACAATCTGAGAAAGTAATAACCTGAGAGAAACCAACACACATGAAGTACAAATTAATTTCTGTCTCCTGACCTCTTTCACCCTTCTTCAGGATGAAAAATGAGTGTATTCTGCAACATGCAAGGCAGATTTTCTTGCTCATCAAGGTGCAGACTTTGTGGGGGGAAAGGTATCAACTCTGTCAATGCACAAAAATAGTATTTTATCATGTTTTGGGATGTACTGCTTTGGTGGTGATTTGTGGGTTTATTTAGTAGACTTCTGCTAGCATCACCTACTTTCACTCTGCATTTCTGAATTTCCTGAAGATATTCCCYGGGTTTTACCACCCTAAAAAATAAAAATACATATTCATTACAATAATTTGTCATTTTCCACTTTTTCATTATCTACTTCCATAAGAAAAATTTAAAGTATTTGTGTAGCTTCCTGTTACTAACAGTTCTAGTCTTGACAAAGATTAAAAATTGGCCTTACATCTTTGCTTACTAAGTTTTATCATTAAAATACAAATATGCTTGACAAAAAAATAAATAGTAGCAGAACACTGTCTTATACATTTCTTCCATTCTCACACAGCTCTTTAACTAAGGAAAAAGTACAAAACAAAACCAACAAACAAACAAMCCCCCCAACCTTTCTGATGCCTAATTAAATCTCAAAGACAAGACAAGCTAAAATCAAGATTTATGTTTCCAAGAGACAACAACATTACATTCTTTTACTGTGCTTTGTCCAAAATATGGGTTTTGTTTCTAAAGTTTTCTGCCGTTTCTTAAAATTTGAAGATTGCTTCTTTCCAAATGGAATAATAAATGTCAAAAGGGATCTGAAGAATTATCAAAAAACTTAAACCTGGACTTAAGATATTCACTGACAGAAGAGTAGCAGCTTTTCCAAAGCTCTTCTAGTAAAGTCTTGCTTTACAACAAATTTAGTCTGGAGACCAGGCCTTCCTGGGTCCAGACACCCAAAGCAGCCCCTGCAGCGACTCACCCTCCTCCCGAGGCTCTGAAGTCAGGACTCCGAGGCCAGCCTGGAACTGGGCGCTTCCCGGTCAGCGCGCTACGCTACAGCCCTGCCAGCGCCGGGGAGCAGTACAGCGGGAAAGTCACTCCCTGCACGCCTCTGCAAACCACAGCAAACAAACACACAAAAACGTAAATAAAAACACAGGCCATTTCATGAAACTGCCATACAGGATTAAAGCTTCTATCAATCAGTCTGCCCAGAGATCATGGTCTGCAGCATCCGCGGTTTTGTTCCTGCCCAGCCACGGAGCATCATCCGCTCCTACATGAAAACAGAGCACATCAGTCRCTGTGCCACGGTAGGAATGGATCGCCCAACTCCACGCGGGGACAAACGAACAATTATTTGATGAAAGGATGTAATAAAAAATACTATTTGACTTGTATCATACGAAGTTTCAGCTTCTGGCGAGCTGAAAGCAAACATGGGGTAGCAATTCTTAGTTTCTTGCTTGTACAGCCTTGCTTTGCCCCAGCTCTTCATTTGTGGCCAGCCGAGTTCTGCTCAAAAGAGCCACAGCACCTGTAGCAGCAGCGTGGGAGARCAAATTAAAAGGATATTGGATTTCTATTGATTTCCTTTCCTCCTCCCCCCCAATACAGTTAAGCTATAAGAGTATCTCCCACAGGGGTAATACAACATTGAACAACGATGTCCCAAGTAGATTCTGTTTGACATCCAAAGGATTCGGTTTAATGTTGTATATGCCAAGACCTTGAGGAAAAATAAAATGCGCAAATGGAAGCTAGCCAAAAAAAAAAAAAAAACATGTTTGCATTCTAAAACAGCACCATCTAGAACACAAAGTGTGGAAAATTCAATCTTTCCCTCATATCTCCCCTCCCTGCGCTGCCATCACTCAATACAAAGCAGGCAAGAAAACGAGTTCCCCTCTTCCTCCRTGGTTTTCGCAGGGACTGGGCACTTCAAAGAAATTACAATGAAAATAGAAAAAGAAAAAAAAGTGTGTGAGAATTTAGCAGTCATTCATGATTCAGTGAACTCAGACATATCATCAGAAAAGCATTTGTGGAAGAAATAAATTGCAAAATACTTTTTTTAGTATAGGGTTTATTTAAGCAGTCTCATTACCCAGCTTCCACTTTAACATAAAATTATCAAGCACATCAAATCTTGTTTTCTTTGGTTTTGACATCAAACTGTTATTTGAAGAAAGAAGGGCAATGATAAAAGACATCTTGTAACTGCTTAAAATCATGAGGCGGCTTCAAAAACCTGTCACAAGAACTTTCGTCCCTTTTTAATTATTTTACTTTTGCAATTTGATCATTCACACCAGATTTCCAAATTCAGTTCTTGACTTTCCAATATAAAAGACATCACACTGACTCCGAAAAATATTCCATATCTTCTTCACATAGGAAATAGAAGAAACAAGGTCATTTTTCCCTGTGGAGGTCCACAGGTTAGTACTAGGCACTCTCCTTATTGTGTTTGCTTTTCCCCCTGCCTCACTTCTAACCTTACAGAAGTTCTTCCACTGGCTTCAGCTTGGCATAAATCAGGTTTTTACCGAGCAGGCTAACAGCTGAAGATCTTCACCATTTCTCAATTTTAACAGCTAGTAGAGGATACAGCTAATTGGAGCAAAACACTTTCCTACAGTTAAAAAAAAAAAAGAAGGAAAATCAAGAGGAAAGCCTTTTTGACCACCATTTGTTTATTTTTTAAACAATTTACAAATAAAAAGGTTATATTTATCCAGGCAAACACATTTAATACTTTAGTCTTTCACAAGCTATACAAATGAGAACCATCACACGGGAGCTTTTAGGGACCATTCAGGGCAGGCATGCATGTGCTGTGTGTCACGCGAAGCGAGTCCAAGTCCTGACACCACCGTTCTCATCTTCTGCGTCTCCAGAGCTGGTCAGCTGCTAAATGATTTAACACAAACAGTTACTGGATCACAGTACAAGGAAATAAAGCCCCTATCAAATCATGTAAGTGACCTCAATGTGTCTGGTCCAGGTGTCAGGCCACAGAGCCTTACCGGTTAGTCTTCTTCTCCAAAAGGCAGGCTGGGCAGTTTTTCTCCCCTTGCTTAGTGATGTGGCATCCATACATGTGCTTATACAATACAATAAAACASCTTAAGCACAGGTGCAATACAACGGTAATTACAAATCACAGAGACAGATAAAGCAACCAAAACAAAAACAAAACAAAAGAAACCCTCTAATTACACTTTTTTGCATTTCAAACAATAAAATTTTATATATAGATATAAAAGCATTACATTTTAAAGAAATTTTCAKTTTTTCAGTTCCATTTCCTTGAGAAAGAGTCTCCATTTCCTTAAGTTCTGAGCTGCTGTTCTTGAGCTTGTTCCAGAGACCAGGCCACTCATGATGATACTGACAGAAATGGGGTGAGCTGAAATTCATCCAAGAACTGACAAAGAATAAAAGCCCCCAAAATAAACAACAAAGACGCACGCATTATAAACGAGAGATTCCATTTTAATAGCAGAGTGTAGAAAATAAATTGGCAAAAGAAATTCACATGAAAAAACATTTTACACAATTAATTATGTACAGAGTAAAGTGTGTCTGGGTTCTGACGACAAACGTTTCGCTTTAGTCGAGTCCTCCTGCAGGATGCCACGTACACCTGAAGCCCTCAACTGAAACAAAACAAAAACAGAAAAAGAGCAAAACAAAAGCCATATACATAATCCCAGCTCCGGCTCCTCAAATATTGGGGCTGGCTGGGTTCATTTCAACCCACTGGGCTTTTTTGCTAAGCTTTCAGCAATTCCTGAATTTGTTGTGACTTCCAAACCGCCGTCCACAGTTGCTGTTTGCTCAGTGTTCTTGCCCTGCACGGCGCATGCTCCCTTGCCTCCTGAGCCACCCTCTTTTCCAGGTGTTCCCTGGAGCCCAGGAAGGCAAGTTTCCGTATGCCCAGAGGCCTGACTTTCTGTAYGGTCTCCATCACAGCTCAGTGATGATGTTTCAGCAGTGCCACCTCTGCTCTTCTCCACAYGTGGAAGAATCTCCGACACGGGAGAAATGCCCCGCGTTCCTACAACTGGCACAAGCTCTTCAGTAGTGGCTCTGTTTGAGGACTGCAATCCAAGCTGCAACTCAGCTGTTTTAGAAACCAGGGTGCAAGATTTCTCTTTTTGATTAACAGAGGGTAATGTAACAAGATCCAGAACATCTGTTTCATCCACTGTTTTCTCAGAGCCCGGTTTTACCTTGGTACCTTCCGAATGGAAATCAGTGCTTTTGAACTCCAGTTCTGCCTTCTGTGAGGGAATCTCATTGTGTTTCAAGTCTTCTGATTCCAAGGAATCTTTCACATTGTCCACACTGATATTTAGTGAGATACTTTTAGACTGCTCAGTGTTAAATCCTGAGTGAGCAGTATTCAGATGAAAGCTGCTGTCTGCTGAGGTTCTTATAACCTCATGCTTTATTTCTGTGTCCTTCAGAAGTCCTTCAGAAAGATGCCCTGAACAGGAATCCACTGACAGAGCAACTACTGACTCTTGGACGACATCTGAGTGAGCCTTAGGAAAGCCTAAAGCCCCTACTTTTTTTGCGTCTCTTTTGACAAGAACGTCACCTAACACTGCATCAGACCCAGTGTGTCCCGATGATTTTTTTCCAACTTCAACTACTAATTCCACACTGGATCTGAGTTCAACAATGTTTGCTGTGCATGACTTGAGTAACCATGAGACCTCCTCCTTTTGAGTTTGGCTACCTAACACTGCATGGCCTGAAGGTTCACATCTAACCTTTCCTTGTGCTTCTAATTTATTACGTGTAGTTTCTCTCGTGSTGAGACATATGTCCGGCTCTATCACTGTCCGTTCTGAAGCTCTGATTTCATTAGAACCAGTCTTTATTTCCACATCTGGAGAATGTGATAGTTCCCAACCACTTTCACAAGAAGTGGCCACGATGACCTGTTCTCTACTACTTGTTCTAGTGTCCAATTCACCTGGGCTTGTTGTCACTTCTAAAACCTTATTTTGGGTTTCTGAAATCCGGGGACCTTCACCAAGGACTTTTGACYGAGACACTTCCAAAGCGACACTTTTCACTTTTGCATCTTTTAAGGAGGCATCAGCACAATTCTGCTCTGCCAATGATGCTACTAAAGCCTTTTTTTCTGATGAGTTTTGAGAACCACAGAACAAGCCTGGACTGCCAGTCTCTGAGTTGGTTCTACAACTTCCACTTAACTTTTCCTTCGCCAAATGCAAATCTGTCAGACTTTTAATTTTGTTCTGAGTTTCAGGCAACGCAATCTTTGGGTGTTCTAAGCTAAGCTCAGATTTTCCTTTTTTAACTTGCCAGTCCTTCAGCTCTGCATCTTTCTTCAAGCTACCAGGAATATTTGTTTCAGTAACTACAGTATTATTTGCATCTCCCTGTCCACCTTTCCCTTGGGCCTCTGTCGTACGTGTATCACAAAGCTCCTGATGGACAACTCTCTCTCCACTTGCTTTATCCACAAGTCCCATTTCTGCAGACATCTGCATTCCCGAATCAGGGTTTTTTTCTGGCCATTCTGCGACTGATATTTCTGGTTGTTGTAGCTGGAGGGGCTTCTTGCTCCCTTCTGCTTGATTCTCACCAAGAATGCAACTCCCTTTTACTTGATCACTGCCCTGTGAGGAACCCTCCTCTTTCAATTTAGTCCGAACATCTGTTGAAAGGGGAGCCTGTGATTTCTGACCTACAGCCTCCTGAATACCGTTTTCAGCATCAGGGCTCATCTCAGTATTAAGCACTGAAGCCTCCTGGCTTTCAGTTTTCTCCAATTCTGAGCTTCTTTCAGCTGAGTGAACTTGGCTAAACTCAGCAGCCGCATTCTGGGGATCCTCTTTCGGGGAGCACGAACTGTTACTTGTCCTAGAAATCGCAGGCGAGTCTGCAGGCTTTGCTAGGTTGGAGTTTTCTCCATTCGGAAGCGCTGAATTCCCAAGCTTGCTCTCTGCTGCCCCTTTTCCCCCACTACTGTAGAAAATGTCATAGAGATCTTTGGCGTTGGCTGTGGCCAAGCAAGAGTTTCGTTTCTCTACTTTTTTTGCCTGCTCATTAAAAACAGTGGGTGGTGGTGGAGGCGGGGGTCTCACGGGCATTGCCAGCATCGCCTGTTCGCTCTCGGACACGCCTGGAGCCACCTCATCCGCAGGGATAACGGCTGCCTGCTGCACGGCTGGCGGAGGAGGYGGTGGAGGTGGGATGTCTGACGTCTGAGGAGACTCCTTTTTCTCTGCTGCTTTCAAATTCTCCTCTGTCCCTTTTAAAATCACCTCTTCTCCACCAAAAGCTTTTGAGATGATTTCTGGAGGCAGCAGAGGGTCTGCGCTGTTTTCTTTTACCACTGGCAGTGGTTTGGTGGTAGCTCCAGAGGATTTTATAGATAAGAAGGTGTTCAAAGGTGCTGGCTTGCTTACTGATGCAGCAGCAGATTTCCTGAAAATCATGGTGGGGACTGGGAGGTTGGGTAAAAATTTTGACTGTACTGGTGTGGGAACAACTGGTGTCCATGGACTAGTGTGTGGAATAACAGTTTTCCCAGACAGTTTGATTTCAATGGGCTTGGCATGGAGTTTTGCAGGCTGACACTTGTTCTCCTCCTTTTCTTTGTTCCCTTCTGCACTTTCCTCCTTTGAGATAGCTGCTCCCGAGGCTTTATCCTCTGTCTTTTTCCAGCTGAATTTTCCAAAGGAAGACTGACTTGGTGTTTCCTTTTTTGGCTCCTCTTTCTTTTCTTCTTTTTTCTCCTCCTTCTCTTCCTTCTTCAGTTTAAGCTTGATACCCATTTTTTTCCCAGAAGAATCTATTTTCCCTTGAGTTTCAGTAGCCCCTTCCCCAAGCTCAGGGATGTTCTTTGTTTCCTCTTTCTTTATCATTTTTGCTTTCTTCTCATCCTTCTCTTCCTTCTGCTTCTCAACCAGCTTCCGTTTCAGCTCGCTCTGCCGCCTGCGCTCTGTTTCCAGGACCACGGCCAATCCAGCTTGGCGGTCTAGATTTCTCCTCTCTTCATAGAGTGGGTTTTCATCTATGTATTTCTGTGGAAATAAACGGCACAATCTCAGGAACTGCTTCTCAAAAAGAAAAGGAAAAAGAAATTTCATGGCTCTAGAACAATTTTGACTTATTACAGAAATTCCTTTTCAACACAAAGGGAACAGGGAACTTCTTCCAATGAAGGAAGAGGCGTGCTGCAAACCCCACATTTTGTGATTTAATGTTAAGTGGTGGCTTGCAACAGTGCTGTCACTCTCCGAAAGCGTTGGAAAAATCAACACTGGGGCTTAAACCCAGTTTGAACTTTGTGCAGATGAAAGGTAAGTCTATGCATAGTGGTAAGTTCTGCTTGACTAGTTCACTATAAGACAGAGAAGAAAACCAAATACACACACACACACACACACACACACACACACACACACACACACACACACATACCCTGAGGAGTCAAACATAATTCTTAAGAAAGAAAGGAAGACAGACAAAGCAAATAAAAGCCACCAAGAGAAACATCTCATTCCTAGAGCACCAGGTACCAACCTTGTATTTCTCATTGTGAGGATGACTTTTCACATGCTGCTCTGCTGAGATTTGATCTCCGAAAAACTCATGACACAGCTGACAATAATATCCAGTGATAGGAATCAGAAACTCAGAGCCTGAAATGGCCGAAGAAAATCAATCAGAGAAACAGAATGTAATAAAAGGCAAAGTTTTAATAAAGCCRAATAAAGTTATCAAATAACAATGGCAAAACCTCCAGCAATGTTCCTGTTCATGCTTTTGGAATGGGTAATCCTGCTCTCCTTATGCTTCTAGAATGACAATCACCAGTACAGGTCAAAATGCATAAAATGAAGAAGCCTAATTATTAGGGCTCAAAAAATTATTCTTAGCGCTTCTACCTTCTTAAGACCATCCTCTCCTAAAGCAGGTTAATAGTTCCTACCATCTCTATGTATTTTCCATTTTGTGCTGTAGTCTGCTCAAATATTAAACACCTGGTTTATATATATAAAAAAAAGGTACCTGTATTCTCATTGAAGTTTASCAGACTGCATCCATTTGTCTACAGAAACCTAGATTAAATTCAGAGATCTGAATTTATAGTGGGTAACAGATTAATGAGCAAAGACTGATCACTGGCAGGCTTGTTTAGACCACTGATTGTGTTCAGAT